TTATACATTAAGCACCTTGATGCCATAAACACAGTCAGCTCTCTCCCTGCGCTATTCACGCCGTCTTCATTGTACAACCATGGACTCAGATTAGATTAAGATATTTAATCTGTCCACGTGCTTCACTTGGTGTGGGGGGGGGGGGGGGGGCTTGCCTTCAGGGAGCTGTGCTTCATTTTTGGAGGAGCGCCTCGGGGTCCTTTTTAAGACGGTTCATTTTTGGGGGGGGGGGGGGTATGAAACCCCTGGTATTTCCTTTTGGTATTCAGAAACCAGCGCCGGGATAGAGCAACCCCTCGCTTGCTGTGTGTCGAACGAACCACGTTGTCCGCGCCACCCCGCCCACGCCCAGAATTTTTACCGGGGGCACATGCCCTCCTTGCGGATTTCAGGAAAAATACAGGAACGCCCCCCCCCCCCAGGTGACCTCTGCCCTGGCCTACATGCACTCGTTGAACATCATCCACCGGGACCTGAAGCCCGAGAACTTGCTCCTGACCTCCAAGGGCGCCGCGCCGGAGGTTAAAATCATCGACTTCGGGCTGGCGAAGGTGCTGGGCGCGGGGGACGACAGAGCGCAGTCCTTCCTGGGGACAAGGGTGGGTTCAAGTCTGACATTATATTGTAGTCTAGGCAGGTTTTTCCAAGTAAGATAACAGCTGGAAAATGTTACAGAATCGGCGAAGTTAGTGCCCCCTGTCTGATCTGTTTTCGGTAATAAACTTACTATCTTTGCGGCAGTCCGGGTTTGATCCCTCTTGAGGTTGTTCTGTAAACATCGGGTGTGGCTTTCATGGTGGCGGCGGGTGTGTGTTTGTAATTGTAAGCGCATGCCGTAGTCGTTAGACCCTGCACGGGGCGATATGCCGGGTTTTCGCCGGCCCAGGGTACTTTTCACAAGGATGAACCACCTTTGTTGGGGTGCGGGGGGGGGGGGGGGGGGGGGGGGCCCCAAAACCGGGGAGGCGGAAACCTTTTGACCTTTAACCCCCCCCCCCCAAAAAACCGGGGGGGAAAACCCGGGGTTTTCCCCGGAACGGGGTTTTCAATAACAAAAACGAAAACCCCCGGGGGTTTTTGGGAAGCCCCAAAAAGGGGGAGTGGCTCCCCTCTAAGGGGGTTCGGGATTTTTGGTTTTTTTTTTTGGGAGAGGGAAAA